ATCTATAACAGATGATCGAGGTTGATCGTCACCTTCCTAAATTAAACAAAAACTAACAAAATATTATAAATCAATTTTCTTACCATATGTCGAATTGATCGTTGTAATGATCCATTCGGACTATCGACTCTATGACATATATAACAATTATTACACAAATAATGACCTGTAATATCATGTCGCCATAATGATGTTGATACAGCTCCACAATTAACACATTCACGTCCATCCGTTGTATCAAAACACGAACTATCTAAAGTACAAAATATTGATCTTTTTTTTTATTCCAAACAAAAAAACTCTTACCTGGATATTGAAAATATGTTCCACCAGTTGTCGTATCTGGCCAAAAATGTCCCGGATCATTTTGATGTTGTTGAAGATGTGTTAATTCATTTATATTCGTTAATGTTGTTGATGGATAATTTAAATAATGTTGAGTTTCATTCGATGGCCATGTTTGCATTGTACCATTATCATAAATAATTGTTCTTGGTCTAGTTGCATCGTCATAAGATAATTGTTGTGAATGATGAATACTTGATATTGATGGTGAATAAAGAACTAAAAAAAAAAAAAAAGAAAAGAATGAATTTAATCGAATCAAATAAATTGTTTTATATTTTTACCTTGTTGTAAATGCGAATAATTTTGTTGAAGTGGATCAATCATACCATCACCATAATAAACTATTGGATCTGTATATGATTGCAGATCGGATCTGATATATTGACCAACGAATGGAGATGAATCTAATTTATATAAATAATAATTAAGTAGTCACAAAAGAGTCTAGCTACTAGAACTCTAATCTATTAGTTTTCATAGTTTGACTACAAATAGAATATGTTGAACTGTCTGATCGCAAGGACTTGATCAATCTTCGTGCGGCGAAGTTAGAAGGTCAATATAGATTTTTTTTGTTTCAGATAAGGATATCTCAACATAGAAAACAAATTTCACGTCGTTAGACCCTTATCTGATAGCTCAACACTGCTTTTATCATCAACAAAAATTCCATGTCAAACGGTTTTCATTTGTCAGATTTATGAAGTGATCTTCATATGAGAGTTGATGAGAATCGTCGACAAATGATGTATATATCTCCAGTTAATTTTAATCATTAGTCTTGAAATTTTCTTCAATGAGTGCTAGAGTTCATCGAGTCCTACACGGATTTGGACTCGATCGGATGCAAGTCCGGGTTCAGAAATTCTTGGAGCCGATGGGTTCTACTCACATCTCAAGATTACAGTAGATTGAAGTACCCTATCTGTAACATAATATAGACATGCGAATCTTTATTTATTAATAAGACAAATTTGAATACTAGAAAGTGTCAAAAAAAAGCCTTTTTTCGATCCTAGGGAAAAAACCCCAATGTTTTCATCGTAAATCCTTTGCATTAAGACCTATCGACACTGAGTTACTGCAAGCTCTATTTATAGTCAAAATATCAAATAAATTTGATTGAAGAGTTTCTGTAGTTTTTATCGAGTAGTGAGACTTCTTGCAAAATTATTATATGTAAAATAAAATTATGAAATTTATCTTACCATTTGCCGATGAATATTGTTCTTGTTGTAAATTATTTGAAGCAATAAGATTTAAATTTTTTAATGTTGTTGGTACTGAATAGATTGATTCATTTAAAGATATTTGTTGTTGATTATTTGTTGATAATTGATTAATTTGTGTTGTTGTTGTTGATGATGATGTTGTATTACTATTATTCGAAAGATTACTATGTTCATCATCATTTGTATGTTCATTTTTAATCATTGATGTAACTAATGATTTTCCATTGTTTTGTGTCCAAGTTGATGACATATTTATAATAAAATAATGCCACTAAAGATAATCAAAAACAAAAAAAAAATATAAAACCAAAAATTTTGTGTTAGTTTCTTTTGTTAATTGGCTTAAATCATACATAGTTTTCTTCTTTTTTTTTTTTTTTTTTTGATTAGTTAAACAAACTTACTGTTTAATGCCATAGTTATTCAATTTAATGTATGACTGTACTATATCAAATGTTTTTTATGAGAGTCTAGTGATAAGACTCTTCTCTTTCTATGTCTATTGTTCTTATTCCAAATGAGGCTACAAAAAAATTTTGATAAAAATTATCACTTGTTATTATAGTTATAAAACGATAGTTGTCATAACGTAAAAAAGAAAAAAAGATAGAGCAGGGTTTCACAAAATAATTTAAGCTTGTAAGAATTAGATTTATTACCTTTCTTTTTTCTTTTGCACTTGATATATATGACAAGGCAAAAAAAGAAAACTAAACTGTTAGTGTTGTATGTATTCAAATTAAAGAAAAAAAGTCGAAATAAAACGACAAAGTATAGTTATTTTCTCTCATTCTTCTCTTCTTTTTCTTTTCTTTTTGACTCACGAATATGGGCGCTTCTTTCCAACATATTTATATATAAGTGAAATATGCGCACGTGCAAATCAAATTAGAAAAAATTCGTATTAAAGATTTGAAATCAACATAGACATCAGTCAGGTCAAAATGTTATCTATAGGTACAATAAATACATAAATTCAAATGATTAGTATAGAAAAAAAAAATATCAATAACTTTCATCTTTTACAAAAAAAAATTAAAAAAAAAAGAAACTTTGTATATAAGAGAAAAAAACATACAAAAAGAAAAACCTGTCTTCTGCAGTTATCAGTAAGAGCAAATAGAAACGATTCATACTACACTCTGTCTTTTATGAAATCTCAACGAAAAGCAAATATAAAAAAAGAAGAACATAAGTAGTGAAGAGAAAAGTAAATAAAACAAGAGAGATAACGAAGAATAGCATAGACAACATCATTTCAAAATGATTAATAATCCTTATGTTTAGTAATGTTATAAATTCTTTGAGGATCAATTGAGTTAAGTGTTTGAAAGAATATATATCAACAAAACATTTAAAAAGAAAATGCTGAAAGAATAAATCATGAACTGATCGATTAAACATTAATTCAGCAATAGTGTAAACAATCTTGAGATTAATCTATTTCAAGAAAAAACACAACACTTTGATAGACTTTGTTCGAAATTTATTGTTTCATTGAATTTAAAAACTATTCATTAGAGAATTTTCTACGTTTGATCTTATGTAGTTCTTAATGTTTAGAAAACGAAAATAAACAGTATTTTTTCCATAGTAATTCAAAGTGATCGATGTCTCAAACTCGAGACTCACAAGAGCACATATGATGTGAAGAATAGATCATTAAAATGAATTGGTTATGTTTTAGAGTAATTCTATGAGAAACATAACTGATTTCTTTGTCTAACTATAAAAACTTTATTAATAATCCTTGCTATTGATAAATTAAAGAAATTTTCGACAGTTTCTAAAATTTCCCAGTTTATTATTTTCTTCTAGCAGATTGAATTTCTTGTCTACTTCAAAAATACAATGCTGAAGAATGACATTCTTTGAATTCGTTTTCCTTATATAATCGTTTGCTGGTCAAACAACTCCTTACATAACTCTAATCACCAATGATAGTAATAAACCATTCATTGACAACAATTTTGTGCTGTTTGATGGTAGCTCACCTTCTCTAGT